GACAAAAAGGAAAAGACCTTTCCCCCCCCCCCCCCCCCCAATGTAATTTTCCTCTTGTTTTTGTATTTTAGGTCAGGCACATTCTGTGTGAAAAGCACAGCAAAATTATGGGTGCCATGGAGAAGCTGAAGTCTGGAGTGCGTTTCAGTGATGTAGCTTCACAATTCAGTGAAGATAAAGCCAGACAAGGGGTATATATTGACAGCACTCTTAGGTTGCCTGCCTAATAATAGAGAGACAGCAAGGTTTAGTGCAGGGGTTCTCAGTCAGGGTGCTGTGAGACCTTTTCAAGGGTGCTGTACCACTGCAGTCAGGTGGGAGTGCCGTGGGAGTCTGTTTGCATGAAATGCTGTGCAGGGCTGCACTGGGAAACAGCTGTGGAAGAAGGAGGGCATGTTAGTGAAGCCCAGCCTGCCTGAAGGTCCCAGTGGCATAACTGGGAGGAATAGGAGGGCACAAGGCCCAGGTGCTGAATAGGTGGAGGTGCCTCCCAGGTTCCCTCTGGCTACTTGTGCCCAGGACCAGCATTTCCCAAACCTGGTAGATACTCTTGTGCCTCGCCTTCTACCTTCTGTTTGCTCCATGTAGCTCACTAACCACTGCTGTTGTCTAAGGGAACCTGTAGCAAGGGTAAGCAATAGCTGTAATAGGGACTGTAAAAGTAATACTGGGCACATCAGGAGCTGAGGAGGCAGCAAGCACCTTGGATGTTGTGGAGGGCTTGAAAAGAAAGGCATAAAGCAGGGCAGAGGAGAACACGCTGGGGCCAACTGCACCACAGCTGGTGGAGGGGGACCCATGGGGGGAGTTAGATGCACACTAGGTTTGACAAACTGTCCCAGGGTACAAACCCTACTAGTGAGGTCTCTGGAAAGTTGGACAGCATACTGTAAAAGTAATACTGGGCACATCAGGAGCTGAGGAGGCAGCAAGCAGCTTGGATGTTGTGGAGGGCTTGAAAAGAAAGGCATAAAGCTTCTGGGCTCAACTGGGGAAAATGGTGCTGCTCCAGACTGGGGGCTGGGCTCCAACCTTCTTCCAGGGTGTTGTGGGCTGCCGGGTAGGCAAGGACCATTGGGAAACAGAGTTTGGACACCTCCAGAGCAGCAAGCACTGGCTGAGGCCACATGAATCCCATTTCCTTGCTTGCTGCCAGAGCAGCCTTCACTTTGCCTGTGCCATCTTCCCATCACTTAAGAATCCCATGGTACCCTCGAGGTCAAATCTTGAGCCCCCAGGCAGGTCTGGTGAAGGAGGTACCTGCTGCCTTCTGTTCTTGCAGTGTGTTAGGGCAGGGGCTGTCTCTCTCCATGGCTATGTCTACAGCTGACATAATGGATGCCAGATATATGTATGCAACCATTTACACACTATAATAAATACATTTCTTTTTTGAAATAGGGTGCCATTAAATGCAGAACAGTTACAGAGGCAGCCTTTAGTCTAAAAAGGTTGAGAACTTTGCCATTACTGTTGGGGCTGTGTTTTGGGTGAGCTTGCTGTAGCAGACCTGTTGCTGTTGGGAGGGAAGTATTCCTTAGGAGCCCTTGGAAAGGCCTATTATTCATTCAAATGGTGCGTAACTCTGCTCTGGAACTAACCATCTCCATTGCAAGAGGGCAGTTGCTTTCAAAGGAGCAGTTGTGTACTGTTAGAGGGGAAGGGAAGGTGAGAATTGATTTACACCCAGTTCTTTCTTGATATGAAAAATAGGGTAAGATAGTTTCCCTAGCATAGTGGGGGGCCAACCTTTTTGGCAGGCTAATCCAAGCTAAACTAAGCCCCACCCCCAAGTGCCTTTTCCGTGTCTGATTTGTTACCCCACTTTCTGTTCCTCTGCTGCCATGTTCCTTGCTCCCTCCCTGGTCTGCTATGTCCTGCACAAAGGCTGCCCATACCACTTGTGGCACACATGCCACAGGTTGGCCACACCTGCCCCAGCACATCATCCCCATATTTCATTCACTTTGCTGCAGTGATGAACAGCAGCTGAGTTTGAAGTTGCAAACACTAAACAGAAGGGCCTGTCTGAGGAAGTGGAGGGGGAGAAGGATACCTGCTGTCTACACTGCAGCTCTGTTGGTAGGTTTTGAAATTAGATTCTTTAACTTTGACATCTTGATTCTCTTTTTTAGGGAGACTTGGGTTGGATGACAAGAGGCTCCATGGTGGGGCCTTTCCAGGAAGCAGCATTTGCCTTGCCAGTCAGCAGTATGGACAAACCTATGTACACAGACCCTCCTGTCAAAACAAAATTTGGATACCATATCATCATGGTTGAAGGGAGAAAATAAATCATGCAAAGCACTGAACAGTTTTGAAACCTACTGGTTTAGACACTGAACAGGAACTTTCCAGGTGAATTAGTCTTGCCCAGCCTTGGGAACAGGCAACATATATATTTACACATGGTGGGAGAGTCTATTTAAACTACTTTTTTTTTTTTACAGTTTCACCTCAAATAACAGGTCATAGTGTTAGCAGGGATAGGACCCAACAGCACATTCTAGATAAAAGGTCAGGTGAAGGTCTTTAGGTAATTGTTGAACTCTGCTTAGACATGAGATTCCTGCCCTGTGGGAGGGCAGGAATGGATCACAGGTCCATTTGGGTGCAGAGGACCAGAAGTTCCAATTTCCTGCAAGGTATTGGGTTCCCAAAGTGCAACACAATCAGTCTAGAACAAAATTATTTTAGAAGAATAGTTAACAACAGAAAATAGTGCTGGAATGGAAGGGACCTCAGGACTTCATATAGTCTAACCCTCTGTTCAGGGCAGACTTATTCCTGTCTAAACCATCCCAGCTAAGCTAATTAAACAGATGGAGAAAAACACAGTTGCATTGACCTTGAAACAAAGGGACTTTCATCCGCATTGAATAGCACATGGGATATTCATTATGAGACATTTCTTCTGAGGGGAGATGTTAAATGGCAGAACATGCCAATAACACCTCCTTGCATATGGAGGGAGTTAAAAAGGAGCCTTTCTGCAGCTCCTACTCTGTTCTCCATAAGATAACAGAAGGTTACATAGTGAGTTAAGAGGTAAAGGTGCTGGTTTCTAAGGAGCCTATGCCATTGCTGAAGCTGTTGCAGGTTCTCTTGCCAGTTGGGAGTAGCTGCCAGCAAACAAACAGCAAGGTTTTCTTGGAAAATGTCCTTCTAGTAAGGGAGTTGGGTAAAACTGGTGAAGCTAAAAGCATTGGTCCTTATACGCATGACATAGAGGTGTTCCAATTGGCGGTCTAATGACTTGTGTTAACAGGAGTTGTAACACCTCAGGTATAAGAGTTTGCAGGTTTATCTTAGATAGCCTCTGACTGACAATGCCTGGAAACAGCAATCATGATGCCTTTCATTCACCTCGGTGGCAACTGGTCAGTTAGGCAATACCTTTGGAAACCACATCTAAACATTTCAAAACATCAATAAAAGCTAGGTACCAAATGGCAGAGTCTTATTAATTCCGAGGAAAGGCCTCAGCACTTAGAGGAATGGGATGTGTGTGGGGCCCTTTGTAGCTGCCTATACAGAACAGGCAGCAGTTATTGAGAGCTGCAGTTTGTTGTAGGGCAAGCTTTACACCAAGCTAGGCTCTTTGCTCTAACACGGACTAGCTCCTTCCCCCATTACAGTCAATCCATAGCTGTGCCTGTATTCAAGTGTGCCTCACAAAGCTTCCATTTTAACTTAAAATTGGATGTAATGCATGATCTTGGGCTCCCTGAGTAATGCAGTCCTTTTATACCACATAAACCTTTCTACCCAAACCTCCCTCACCCCAATTGGAGTGGTTTAAGTGGGGGAACTGATTTTTTTTGCCAAGAATAGAAGCACACCATTTTGATTCCTGCTTGCAGCAGACATGGCATTTCTATTCAGGCAACCGAGGGAGTCAGATGATTTAATGGCTTCCTTTTAGCAACTGTGATGCAAACAACAATCACCTCTCCCTTTTTTAATGGTCTTGATGTTGCACTAATCAAGCTAACCTTCCTTCAGGCAATTTTATTGTCTTGCAGCTACTCCTGCTCGCTCTCTTATTTCATAGTCTTGCAGGCTGTTTTTTCTGCTCTTTTCAAAATTGTAGATCCACTCATGGAGACCAGTTTTCAGCAGTAGCTAGCATTATCAGCTTTTGGTTAAGCAGGAATGGGAGGTAGATTAAGCTGAAAGTTAGGTTCCGTCCTTGCTCTACGCAGCCGTAACTTTGGAAAAATAGGTTTTTTTGGTCTGCCTTCCCCAAAACAAGATGCGTGTATTATATGCAAGAGAAGATGGTAGCAACAACTTTTTTTATGCGCTTTCTGTCTTTGACTCTAAACTAGCATTTATTTCTGTATGCCTTCCCTTGCTCAGTTTAAGTTTTAGATACTTTATTGGTCAGAAGAGATGCTGAGCTCAAGCAAGACAAATAAAAGAGTTTAGTTAACTGGTTTTCTTTTCAAATAAATAGAGAACTTGGGTATCTAAACATGAGATGTCAAATGGAATGGACACAGTCTTTCCAGATTACGAGTGGCAAAATAAGTGAAAGTTTGCAGCCATTTTGGTTCTCTCTTCCCAAACCTCCATAGGGGAACAATGAGCCAAGTATACTATCAGCATTGCTCTCAACATTGTGAACTGGAAGCAAGAGAGAGAGTAGTCTGCATTCTGAGAGATCCATCTGATACATGAAAAGCCATGGCACGATATCTTATCAGGCAGTACTCGAGACTTTGTTGTGTGCTTCAAAATAGGCAGACTGGCTCAATGGGTATCTTTCAGACAGCTACTTGGAAGAACTGTCAGGGATACATAGGTCTGATCCAGAACACACTTAGCACACCAACTATATTGATTCAACGTAAAGCACAACCACTTCCACTCAGAAATACAGCCAGAAGATGAGACAGTGGCACCTTTTAATTGCACTGTAGTTAGAATACTTGCCCACCAAATGGAAAGCCTGAACTCAGCTAAGGAGGGGCAGGGGGGTCAAATCCACAATTCCCATTTCACAGCAGAGTGGCCTCACCAACATAGCGTCATAGCAATGATTTTCAACCTATGGTCTGCAGACTGTGCAAGGGATCTGTGAAATGGCTACAGTAAAAAAAAGTGAATACCCATACTTACAATTCAAAGTGGTCTGCATCTCCATTTGAAATTTAGGAGCCCACAAATGAAGAAATATATATATAAAAAACCACTGCACTAATCAGCTAGACTGGGTTTGAGAGCACTCACCATCCCTCCTAGTGAACCTGGTCCACAGTATGAAAAAGCAGGCAAAATTCATGGGGCCAGAGAGAGGAAGTGAGAAGGAATCTGACTCTAGCCTACAATCCTGGCCACTTTAGTCCCTGCTCCCAGCATAACTAATCTAATTTGCATTAGCCTCACTGCATAGAATGCATAAATGTTGTTGGACTAGAACAAAGAACCCCCTCTACCCCCAGGCAGGAAATACTCTCCCTCAGTGGGTGACAGGCTCACTCTCTACCATTCCTTTTTTTGCATTGTAGCTCAGTTTTAACTGGAGAGAGAAGTGCTCTCATTCCAGCTAGTTGTATGGATGAGCACTCTCCTTGGAGATGAGAGGGACGCAAATTAGAACCTCATCAGGCTCTGGATGACCTTGAGCTCAAGCCTGCCATTTCCTGGACAACCACTCTTAAGTGTTAGGCATTATACGAAGCTATGTAGGCAGCACCACTTCATTCTCTAGTCACAGTTTTAGAAAAGTGAACAAAATCATCCCCATCCAAAGGAATAGTTTAGACATTGAAATGTAGGAGGGGGATTGGGACTATGAACCCCAGTTTCACATTGGTGGCTCAACTCATGGGCAGCAGGTAACCAGATCCAGGAATTCAGCATCCCTCTCCCTAAGCAGTTCTCTTGGCTGCCTCTTCACCCCTCCACCACACTAGGTGTTATGAATTCCATTCAGACACAGAAGTTTGGGCATCTAATTGATCATGTGAATTCTAATCTTGGGACTAGCTACCATGCTTAAGCAAAGCCACAAAGGAATCTAGATATAGAAAGGATGGATTACTTAATATGCTAGTTCAAGGGCTCTGAAATGAGTGCAAGTGTATAGGCTAACAACAGAACAGCTGCCACATATTTCCAGCACCAAACATTTTCCCCATGAGTAAGAAGTCCCCTTGAGCCCAAATGAACGGAAAATAAGATGCCCACGCAAAAGCTTGAAGACAAAAAAGTCTGAAGCCCAGAGATTCAAGTTAGTTTTATTTTTCAGCATATTTACACAGGAAGGGAGAGAATGTCATTCCCTCCCCCTTTAAACAGTCTTTTGAAGAGTCAGCTATCACAAGCTCCCCTTCATTTTAAATAGCTGCTTAAATGTCTGGGAAGGAAAAAAAGGAAGTGGGAAAGGGAGCCAATTAGATAGTGGTGGAAAGGAATTGGAACAATTTGAAAATAAAGTTGCAGAATGGATATACACTCAGATTTTAAGAGCTTGTTTTAAGAACTAATTAATTAAAAGGTACAATTAAAATCTCATTTCTGTGAGAGCTGTTTATACAGATTTAAAGTGGTGACCATGAGTTCAAGATCTCCTTTTTTTATGTCAAGAGCTTGCAGAAAACAGTTCAGTGCATCCTGTAGTTTTCCGTCTTCTTTTAGTTTCTTTCCACATTCTACTAGGGTATCATAATTGTCTGAGGCAGAAAGGACATTCAGTTTACTCTGAATCTTCTCTTTCTGGGATGCACTTCCATGTGAGAAGCAGTCCATTTGCTCACCAGACAGAAGTTCAGGGTCATCTGTAGATTCCTCTTGTGATTCTTCCTCTCTATCATCCAAATAGTCAATGCTATCCTCTGTATTGAGCATTTCCCCTGCAGGTTCATCTTCCATTTCCAAAGACTGTGTGCTGTGCTCTTCAGCTTCTCCCAACACATACCCTTCTTTTTCATCAGAATCCTCTGCATCATCGCTAGTTCCCATAGTTTCTTCAACATCTTCCACCTGATCTAGCACCATGTTGAGAAGGGATCCTTTAGAAGCTGTAGACTTGTTCCCACTACCAGTAATTCTTGGGGAAAACAAAGCATCTGCTAAAGATACCCCACATTTAGGAGTAGATGCACCGATTACTTGAGAGGAACATAAAAAGCTGTTTATGGGACTGTGTGTGTTTGGAGGCATATTTTCATCCAGTATTTCAACGGAATTATTTTCGTCCTCACTCCCAGAAGACAGCTTCCTAGCATGCTTCTTCTTGACAACAGCAATGATATTATCACTTTCTACAGAAGCTTCACCCCCCGACAGAGAATAATTGAGATTGTCTTCAGTTATATTACAGGAAGTGCCACTATAACATTCTTTTTCTTGAAAATTTGTTACAAAATTGTTACTGCTTTTTACTTCGTATTGAGAGCCTGTATTTTCTGTGTTGTCTGGCATTTCTTCTCCTGAAGCATTTTGCTGTCCATGTTCAGACTCTTCCAGAACAAGATTAAAGTCAGCCTGATACTGGGAAGATGCAACAGATATATCCTGCAAACTGATTTCACTTACATGAGATTGCTGGAGTCTATAAGGGGGTTCTGCACTGGCAACCAAAACACTATCAGATGCCATACCAAGAACTAGCTTAGGAGTTTCACTCCTGTCAGCAAGAAGATCAAGAGACTTTTCTCTCTCTCTCTCTTTTTTACAGTCAAAGACCGATTCATTTAATGACTGCTGTGAGTGTAATGAAGATGTCATTTGAACATCATTTAAGCAGTCTAAGTTTATAAGTGAAGTAGAAAAACATTCTCTTGATTTAAAACTAGCACTTTCTTTGTCAGCAAGATATGATACAAAACTTGGATCAAATTTTTGTTCAGATGATTCTTGCACACATGATTGTTCCACTACTTTACTGCTAGTAAGCACCTCATTAATAACTATACTAGATACCTCCTGTGCCAGTTTATCTTCACTCAAGTCTTCAGTAGCCCAACTTGTCCTTCTAGATTTATTAGCAGCTTCATCTTCTGTAAGATCAATATGATCTGCAGGTTCAACTAATACTGGTGGTGGTATGAAGCAATTTTTGTTGTTCAACTCTGGTGAATTTTTTTGTGGTTTGGAAGAAAGTTCTGGTAGTCTTGACCATGCGTTTTCAATATTGGTTTCAAGTCTCCCTATTCGGTCTTTGAGCTGAGATTCTGACTGGACCAGCTCTTGAGCTTTTTGTACTCTTTCCTGAATATACTGATAAGCTTCTTGATTCTCAGCCTGCTCTTCATGAGCTGTCTCTTGTGTATACATCAAGTCATGATCTGAAATACCAAATATTTCTAGGGAGTACAGATAAGCAATATGTTCATCCAGGTTCAAGTCACTCTTTCTCTGGTTGGCATGCAAGGACTGTAGTTGAACCTGTGTTGCAGAGATTCTGGTATTTTCCAATGTAAAAAGTTCCCTTAACTCCTGTTTAGTGAAATATCTAAAAGGGTTCTTTGTGTCACCAGTAGTTTGTCTTATTAAAGAGTCCTTGAAAACTTGCCGCCTATATATTTTCTCTTCTACAGTGCTGCAAGTAATCAACCTGTAGATTACTACATTTTCTTTTTGTCCAATCCTGTAAACTCTGTCCACAGCTTGGGCATCTGTAGCTGGATTCCAACTGGGATCAAAGATCACCACTCTGTTTGCTGCTGTTAAGGTTATGCCAACACCACCTACTTGGGTGGTAAGTAAAAAAACAGAATAGTCTTTATTACTTTGAAACATGCTAATCCTTTTCTCCCGTTCTGCTACATGGGATACCTTCCCATCAAGGCGCATGATCTTGAAATGCTTTCGAGTTAAAATACACTCTATGATATCCAGCATTTTTCTTGATTGGGAAAATACCAGTGTTCTGTGCCCCTCCTTTCGCAGTCTTTCCAAGAGCCCTATGAGGAACACCAATTTCCCAGACTCTTGGATCAGAGCCTCAGTGGAAACATGATTAATTTTATTACCTCCTGAAAACATGCCTTCTTCATTCTCATCATCCTGCTCAGAATAAT